ACTGTTAAAGAATCTGATTTTCCTGACATTTAAGTATTAAGACACACAGGTGAGGTTCTGCCCATCAGAGTTTTATGTATTATCTGAATTTTAAGAAGCTGTAAAAGAAGAAGGGAATGTCAATTTCCTCCTTCTAATTCAAAATACAGGAGTCATCTTCAGTAAACAACGCAATATTTTTAAAGCTAGAAAGAACTTTAGATAATCTGACTTCTCTTTTAAAAGCCTACATTGAAGCTGAGGAAAATATTTAAGATGAAGTCACAACTAAAATTCAGATAAGATCTTAACTACTTAAGTCAGGATTCATTTCCTTACACCACTTAACCTAGTCCTTAAATACCCAAATAAAGTAATACTTTGGCCTCTCCTCTATCACCTCAAACTACTTTAGAATAAAACAAATTTTCACTACTATAGTACTGTTTCCATGGGCTCTTGCTTAAAGTTAGGAAAACATCTGGGTCCTCACTACTCTAAATGTAGAAGGCAACATTTTACTTACTTAGGTAGAAAAGGACATATCTTCATTTAACAAAATACACTGAAATGCCTAACTCAAGCATTTAAAAGATTTCTGGGTTAATCTCAGTTTTGGAACAAAGACAAATTGATTCTTTCCCAACTCTAAGACCTTGCACATTTATTTCTATGGGAATAAACACTGATCTCTGTGGGATAATTGAGCTCATGCAAAATATGGGAGATTTGAACACATGAGATTATTGTTTTTCATACTTGATCAACCACATTCTTGATTTTGAGGATCCTTTGACCTCTTACAGTAAACTAATTCCCACCCCCACCTCCTTCAAATAAATCTAAAAATCTGTAAAACATAATTGTTTCACTAATGGCCAACAAATGTGTCTTAACTGTGTCCATAAAAGAGACATTTTCAATTGTATGAGCACATCCTTGCAAACCACAGACTTGCAAAATTCTTGAGATTTTGAAATGTGTGGGGAAGGGAATAACAGAGTTGCAAAGAAAAGAACTCTTCTAAAAGTTTTACAACAATAGCTGGTCAGAAAAGAAAACCTAACAACCTCTTTTAAGGATAGCATGGAAGGATCAGGATTAAAATTTGAAAAGATAAAATTAAGAAATGAGAAGATAAGATTGCCCATGAATATGGATTTAATCCTCACAAACTTCCAAAACAGAAGTTGTTGTTCATGATACAGGGGCTTTAATATCTGTAGCATTTCTAGAAATACAGCTCAAGCAATGAATTTTGGATGCCAGCAAAGATGTAGCTACCGAAATATTCATTAAAACATTGTTTATACTAGCAAGTTTGGAAATAAATACTCAACTGGAATTGGTTTCAATGTTGTTCTGTTACTACAATACATATTTAATATACAGACATTAAAAAGTGATATTTTGGAAGATCATTTACTCATATGGAAACATGTCTCCAACAAATCATTAAATAAAAAAAAAAGCCTCAAAACTAAATGTGCGCTATGACTACTACGTGTTGCAAATTTTAAGAAATTAAATATATGCAAACATACATATATACTAATAAATATATATAACCAGCACACACACAAGATACACAGGAAAAAAACTGGACATTAACATACAGCAATGTTAACATTTGGTGAGTCTCTCTAAGAGATTTTGGGTTTCTTTTTTCTGCTTTATCTAAATTTCCTAAATTTTTCAAACAAATATTTGTCACTTTAATAAAAAAATAAGCATTATATATATATATATGTGATTATTAAAAGATCATCGGGTAGCACACATGTGGAACTTATGAATCTTTAGTCTTGAAGCCTTATAGGTCAAAAGCAAAGAGAAGTTCAAACAATAAAATTGAAATAAAGTTATGGTTAATGACTATATAAAATGTTTACAGAATGTCTCAAACGTGTTTGAATGTAGCAGTCCACTTTAACAAAATCTTCTGAACAACACACAGAGAACAGGAACTGAGACAAGAGACACAGACCTGCTGTCACTGTCAATGACTAGCAAACAGACTGAATGGATTACCACTAAGACCCAACAGGACATTTCCGACACTCGACAGGACACTCTGATCCAATAGGACATCACTCCACTAACTCAACTTATCTGATACTGATTATGTACAAGGTTGTATAACAGTTAAATAACATCTGAAAGTTTTGGACATATTCAAAGGCAGTCCATTTTTTCTACTTATTTGCACCTGACAACTGTGGAGATTGGCAGGCTACCCTTGTATCTTTATTTTCCTCCTTACGGCATTCATCTATACTTCTTGTGCTTGTCCTTATCATTTTACCCAAAATATACTCTAGTTACTAAGGATTTTTTCTTGGGTAAATATTGTGGCTTAAGAGAAAGTTTTCAATTCATCTTGACCTCTGTATGAACGCAGAAGCAACCACTGGAACATGATTGTCTCAATTTGCATTCTACCCTTTCCTTTTTATCTTTCTCTCTTTCAGAGGTTGGGGTTCTAGTCCTTTCTTTGCACTAAGATCTGTATGATCTTGGGCAAGCCACTCTGGCCTAGTAGGGCACAACTGATATGTGTAAAACCACTCTATAAATTGCAAAGCATTTAAAAATACAATTATTGAACTACACAATCTCTTGATCTCCATCAAAGTCTAAAATTTTTATCCTGTACTTTTTTCTGTTTTTAGTGAATTCATCTGATTCAGGAGGTAGGAATTGCATTTTGGCACATTTTAGAAGGCTCTGCTGATTCAACAAGTACAGAATGACTTGTAACTTTAAAATAGCAGTACTTAAAACAGGTAATTCTTCAATTGCTGAGGTGACAGCTACCACAAATGATACATGATTTTAAGGAAAAGGCTGAATCATAAGCCAACACCTAAAATTCTCATTCACTATGTTAAAAAAAACCCTCCAACTTTTGTCCTTCTTAAATCTGACAAATTTAAATCTGACAAATTTAAATCTTAAGATGGAATCAACTGAAATCATATTTGAAAAGGCTACAACCACTCATATAGCATCTCAGTACATTTCGTTGTTTTTTGTCAGAGCTGGATTAGTGACTACAGCAGGCTGGAAACAAATGAGACACACCAAATACATACATGAAATCACAGAATTTCAGTTGGAAGGGCTTCTAAAAGTTATTTAGACTAGTATGAGATTTCAAAAGCTTATAAAAGTTCCAAAAAAAGAAAAAAGGAGGGCAGACATAAAACGTCAGCTTTAATTTTGCCAAATAAGAGTACTAACGAAACAAAATGGCTACCTACTATCAGCACCACTTTAATGACACATATATAAAAAGATAAAATCTCAGAATAACATTTTAAAATTAGATTAATGAAAGAAAAAATGCATTATACCGCTCTTATTTTTCTAATATCTCTATGGAAACCTTTGTTAAACTTGCCCCTGTCCATACACAGACCTTTGGGAATCTCTAATCTAGTCCACTCTATGCACACCTCAACCCCTACCCCAGCTCCCCAATCCAGCATTTGTATCCTCACCATACCAAAAATTCTCTTTAAATGTATAGCTCGCCCCACTATGGGGAACTCCCAAAGCTGGGGAATCCATTAAATTTTGGATGGCTTACACTTGGCCTTTTATTTTTAGCGGTAATCTAAAAACGGAAATTTCCAAGTAGGCCAACATTCTTTAGAGTCTCCAAAGGTCTAATAGTGCTGAATTGGGAACCAGACAGCCTGGGTTCTGGTAATGCCTCAAACTTCATACAAAACATTAGCTGAAGTCTCTTCTCCTCTGTTGGAATTCAACTGATTTAAACTAGAACTTTACAAATACAATCATTGAAGTCAGAATTAGAATAACATGGAGAAATTTTAGTTAGGATATCTTCCTGGATAAACTCCTTTACTAATTACTTGATCAAAGTTGCAGTTAAGCCTACATTTTTTTTTTCCATTTCCATTTTAATGAAATTATTTGGGATAGATTTCCTGTTTCAATTTTTACCACTCAGGTTTTATTCATTCAGGATTGAATTCATTCATCGGGGTTTGATTATTATAGGTGATAGCATCAACCACGGAATTCTCTTCTGTAACCATCATTACCACCAAGCCCGATTTTACAAGTCAAATTTTATAAACCAAAATGTGGTCTTGATTTGATTCTTTCGTCAGGTTTTAGTAAAAAAAAAAAAAAAAAATTACTCTGCAAAGTTTTAAACGTCAATTTTATTTTGTAATAGTTATCTCTAGCTTATTTGTTGGGGGGAAGGTCAAAGTTGCAGTTTTCAACACGACCAAAATGATTCTTCAGGGTTTTTTTTTGCGGGGGGGGGGGCGGGGATAGAGATATGTTAATACCTTTTACGTGCAGCTTTTTCACGGTTGTAAATTTTATTTTCTGTTGACTATATTTGCTACTAAAACTATGAATTGGGTATTAGGTTCTTTGGGGATCAAACGTTATCAGTGGGGCAACGACACAATGACATAGGGAACCGAGGTAATTTCTGCTTTCGTTCTTTTCCTCTCCTGTAAAAAGAGAGTCTCCAACATTCGGGAGGGAGAAGTCTAACTATTGATACTGATCAGCTAGACTTTGCTAAAATCGGGGGCCCTGAACAAACAAAGCCGGCCTGGGGCAGTTTTTCTCTTCTTTCCCACCAGAGGTTGATAGGCTCTTTCAAAACAAATTGGGCTGGAATGAGCCGTTCTGGGGGAGTGGCGGAAAGATCAAAGGTCTAAAACCGCCTCAAACAAAGAGCAAAGGTCAATACCCAACTCCGAGGAGACCTGAAGCTCCCACCTTCAATGAAAAATGAAGGTGACTCCTTTCTAACTGCTCTCGAGGCCCGGGGCCGCGCGGCCTTCCAGAGGCCGGGCGTGTCCGAGGTGACTAACAGGTAGCAGGACTAGAACAGCCGACGACCAGAAGTGGAAGTGAGCCCGGGGCGGAGGTGAGGAGAGGCCACAGCTCGCCTGCGCTGTCAGCGGGGTTGCACTACGCATGAGCAGTTGAGCGGTGACGAGGTGACGCTGGGAGCGTGGGCCGCGACTCTCGCGGATCCGGTTCCGCCCTCCCTCTTGCTGCCGACCCTCCGGGGCTAGCGCCCGAGTTCCCTTTCCCAGAGTCCTCTGCGCCGTGAAGAAGCGGCTCCCGGGGACCGGGGGCATTTTGCGTTGGCTGGAGCCGGAGTAACAAGATGGCGGCGTCGGCGGAGTGACAGGGGTCCCTCCGGGAGGGAGCCGGCAGCAGTGGTGGCAGCGGGATCGCCGCCCTAACTCACCGCGCCCCTTTTCCAGCCCGCGACGTCGCCGCGAAAGCGAGGCAGCAGCGGCCGCCCAGACACAAGTGGCCCAGCCTGGTAACCGCGAGGACCCCTCACACACTGCGGCCTGGCGAGAAGAAACCTGCCTGAGCGGCGGTGATCAGGTTCCCCTCGGCTGATTCCGGGCCTGGTAACGCCGAGCCAACGCTTTCAGCTTCCTGCCGCCCTCCTCCGCAGCCTTGCTCCGGGGACGAGCCCAGAGGCCTCCGTCCTCCTCTCAGAGGTGTCGGGGCTCGGCCCCAGCCCCCGTCTGCGCCTCTCAGGATGGCGAGCAGCAGCGGCTCCAAAGCCGAATTCATTGTCGGAGGGAAATATAAACTGGTACGGAAGATCGGGTCTGGCTCCTTCGGGGACATTTACCTGGCGATCAACATCACCAATGGCGAGGTAATCATCTGGGGTGGGGTTCACGACAACGCAGCGCCTGTCCTCACCCCGCCCCCCCTCCAACCCCCAAACTACTCGGGCCTTTTCCCACCGCACGCACGCACTGGGGAGTCCAGAGGGAGCCGGTTTTCCTGGCTTAGGAACCTTTCCCACGCTCTTACCCTAAAAGGGAAAGAACCCGATCGAAAGCTCGGGTGAACTAGGAAGTTTCCCAGCTCGTTGAAAATCCCGTAATCGAACTTTTTTAACCGTCGTCTAAGGCGACAACGCAAATCCAATTTCTGTGGTCCCCTGTTTTTCTCTATGTATTTAATTCTACCGGGCTGCTTGTTACAATTAGGACGGTTTCCGATCGCCTGGTACCTCCATAGCCTCTCATTACATTTTCTGGATGAATCATTTTCCTGCACTTTAGAGGACATGCCGATTTCGTCACTGCCCCCGAAGAGGCCTTTGAGGCTGGTTGCCTCGTTTTGTAATTACAAAGAGAAATTCGCTTCCCGTTCTCTCACTTTCATCATCCAGTTACGAGTTGGAGCTTTGCTAATGTTTCCCCTCTTTTCCCAAGTGACACTGAATCCACAGGGACGTTGATGCCATTATCCCCTCTTTCCCCTGCAGGAAGTGGCAGTGAAGCTAGAATCTCAGAAGGCCAGGCATCCCCAGTTGCTGTACGAGAGCAAACTCTATAAAATTCTTCAGGGTGGGGTTGGCATCCCCCACATACGGTAAGAACCCGTCAGCACACAGGCTGTCCTCTGAGGGAGGTACGGAATGGGGGAAATGGGCCGAGGCAGGTAACAGGACCAGCCGCGTCTGGGTTTTGGTATTTGAGTTCCCTGCGTTTCTTTTAGACGGTGGTTTCCTTTGAACCCTAAGTCACCACAATCACCGAGTATATTTCAGTTTGCCAACTTAGTTTAGAATTTTGATTTGTTACAGTCTGCTCCGTTTAGCTTCCGTCATTCTTCCAGAGGCTTTCATTTGCAGTTAAGTGCTGGTCCTGTTTGATACCTACCCGGAAGGGTTGGCGGCCGCTTTCTTTACGTCGGCACCTCTGATGTGCTTATGTTTGTGCAGAGAAGTGAATTTGAAAGTGCCGAAGTGACCTGGCTGGACCAGTTCGGGTTGCTATTGGAGCTGGCTTGGGAAATGGCTGCTCTTTTGTTGTGTTTTTGTTCCAACATGTCTTCCTCCTCCGCTTAGAAAATGGCGGAACGACGTGACTCAACCGCAGATTCCTGCCCTTTTCTCTGCTTGGTTCACAAGTCAAGCTTCCTTGATTCCCCCCTTGGTATCCCTGAGTGGATTAAACCTTTGAAAAGCCAAGAATAAAGCTGCAGGCGGCGGTGGGGTTCAAGGAAGGAGAAGGCATAATGACAGTCTGTTCGCGAACTCTGCAGCAGATGCGACGTGAAATTATTAAATTATACTATGCAGAATCCTTCAGAGCCTTTTTAAAGGTGTTAATTACCCTTTCTGAATGGTAACGTTGGCAACATTTCAGTTTGTACTAAATTATGGGTAATGGTAAAGGCAGTTTGAGCGCAGCACTAGGCTGGCATTTCCTCAGATCGGTTGTATTAAAAGAAAGCTTAATCGCGTAATCACTGTTTGATGAGTAACTTTAACCTGTTGAGTTACTTGGTCAGTAACTCATCAGGGGAATTTTGGCCTTTGGGGGGCTGAGGAAGGGATATTGGTGAAGACAAGTAGTAGCAATAATAGTAACCAATAAAAGATAACCAAATAGAGACATTTGGTTTTTAAACGGTTGACTTTAAAGGGTTTTAAAATAGTTTGGAGTTTGAGATTAAACAGTCTTTTCCTATAATACAGACTAAAATATGGCATAAAACCCAGCGATATTACAACAGCATTTGCAAGAAGATTCAGAGATAGTTGAAAATTAAGTGAAATGATATTTACTGCAGCCTCTTTCTGTTTCAATTTCTGTTCCTCAAATCTTGAATTAAGAACTAGATGACATATGTTAATTCTGATGTGGAAACAACCAAAGTAACACCATCCTTAACAAAATTTCTAATACTGATGGACATTGAATGATAAAATGTTCTATTGGTTGTAAGTAATAAAGTAAATTATTTGAAAGAGAATTCTAGGTTTGTTTTTTGGAATAAAGATTAATGTGAAATCTGAGATGATCTATATTTGAGATTTTAAATGATTTTCGTCCCCCTGTCCCCCTCCCAAAAAAACCCTACTATATGGGAAAATAAATTTGTTATTGTGGTAGAAGAAAATTTTGATTAACATCCTTAGCTTTTTTCCAAAAAAAGTCAGTTGCATCAGCCTAAACATTTGAAACTCCTTTCCCTTCATGTTTGATCCCATCTCTCCACCCCTGGCCCATACTGATTTGCTTTTCATCACTAGTTTTCCCCTAAAATTTCGTGTCAATACAATCATGTAGTATGAGGTCATTTGTATCTGGCTTCTCTTAGCATAATGCTTTAGAGACTCATCTATGTCGGGAGATTTTATAAAGTTCACAAATCAGGTTGAATTTAATGTATTTGAAATCATTTTCAAAAAGCTTTGAGCATCTGGCAATTTCAGTGCCAAATCCAAATTAAATACATACCCTTTTATCTGGTAGCTTTTATTTAAGAGCAACACAAATACATATCAACAAAGGCAATAGTTAATATACCGAATAAGCACATGAATACAGGAAATTGTGAACAAAATAATAGGCGTCTGTTTATAAGATGTGTGCACAGAGTTGTAGTTATAAATTGTCTCTGAGTAGAGTTAAAGAGGTGAACCTGGCTTTCAAGTTAAGGCTTTGTGGGGGAGGAGATGGGATTTCAAGATCTGGCTCGAAGGAAGAAAGCTTGGTAAACTGGTTGGGGCAGGCATCCAAGACTAGAGTATGGCTTCTGGGAGTAGTCTCTTTTGAGGGTGGGGAATAAGTAAATTTGTTTTAGGAGTGGTAGTACATAGACACAAAAGTGGTTCATTGGTTTTAAAATGTGAGAGAACTGTTTTTCCACTGAAGCAGAAAGGATAAGATTTACATACAAGCATTCTTTACATGAGTGTCAGCATCTTTCCATCCCTCAGTTTGTTCCCCGCTATTTCCACATTATCTGTAAAACATATATATTAAGTAAATATTTACTTGGTAAATATTTAATTAAGTTGACTGTTTAGCTAGATTAAATAGGGCAGTCTATGTGTTATTCATTGTTTTATAAGTGTTAACACTAATTTAAAAAAATTAGATTCTGCTCTTCCCCCATTCCTGTCCCAGCCCCCCCCCCCCCCCACCATTTTCTTAAAGATACTTAATGTATTCTAAACCAAGGGCTGAAAATTACCTGGCCTACATAGCAGACCTACCTAATTAGGTCCTTGCTCTTGTTACGTAGAGGTATAGCATCAGTGTAAAGAGCAAAGAATGATAGAGTGACATTCAGTCTCTTCATGTTTCTAAGAAACTCAAATTCTTGGACCTTGTGAATTGGCCTCTGGGAGCTCAATAAAAATTACTGTATTTCTCTTAACAATCCTCTCTTTCTTTGTGCTACTCTGAATTAATGTATTCTCTAAAGAAGCAATATGGTGTAACTAAGCTCTAGATCCGCCATGTGGTATTGACTGAGTAATCTGGAGTCAGTCAATCCCTTAACCTCTTTGGGCCTGTCATTTTCCTCATCTGAATCAAAAAGAGGATTTTACCATTTTCTAATTTTGTTGGAATGGGAAGGAAGAGTGCTGGACAGCAAAGTTTAGGGTTTCCTACTCTTCTGCTGGGAAAAGAATTTTAAATATGAGCTTTTGGGTAGGGTTTTATTTGAACAAGTTTCCTTACTTAAATAAAAGTCACTGGTCTAGTCGATCTCAGAACAGTTGGCTCTGAAAATTTAAGACTTGTTTTCAGATGTCATGTTTAGATCTTTGAATGTTATTTTCATGAGACACCACTCAAAAGATTTTTTAAAATGCCATCTGCATCAGGTAAACCATAGGTTATCATTTAGAAGAAAGTAAATTAATGGAACATAGTTTTATAAGGAAATCATGAATAAAGAAGATGGGAGGGGCATAGGAAGATTGTTATTACCTTGTTTTTTAACTTTTTGCCCTCTGAATGTCAAATATTCTAGAGGATGGTTATAAAGTACTAGTTAATCCCTACTCTTCAGTGTTAAAAGCATTTAAATTTTTAATCTCAGCTTTTTGGCTTGGAGCATATATCCTGTAAATAAGTCATAATGCTGTTACCAGAGAACAAATGTGACATCTGCAGTGGGTATGTCTTTAGTAGAGAAATCACTGGATGCATGAGAAATGTGATTTTAACTCATAGGATAACTGAACTTGCAGTATACTAAAGATGTTTATATTGGGTTATAATGAATTCTTAGTTATGGAGTGATGTAATGATGCTTAGGTAGCATTTCTGAGTTAGATGAAACCTGAAAGATATAGCCCAACATCTCATAATACAAATTAGACTGTTGACCCTCAGAGGGGTTATTGAGTCTCCTAACTTTGAATTTTCCTGTGAGCCATTTTCACCTTTGTGTCAAGGTCAAATCATGCGGCTCACATTCCTCACACCCTTTCATTTGATGCTGCAGAGCCCTACTTTGCCTCCTTTACTACATGTCATATGGCCTCATACAGAGAAACTGTAACCTATTGTTTGTATTACTATCTAACTAGCTGCTTATTATTCTTATTCTCCCTTTTGAAGACATGGATTGCAGGATGAGAATTTTCATTGGATATTATTAATTAGTATTTAAATTTGAGTAAATAACTTGTAAACCCCTGTATAGTATAGTATGTGGATTATACTGCCTTAGTTCATTTTTGGAGCTAGATCATTTTGTTTCAAAGTATATTTACACTGTACCTAAAGTATCATTTAGTAAGATTTTCTCATGATCTGTCAGTATTTAGTAAGAAATTTAATGTTAAGAAGTTTATTAAAAAAAAACCAGAATTTAAAAAATGTTTTAAATAGAATCTTTTAGGTTTATATTAAAATCAGTTATTGAATTTAACAAGTTTTTCTGAGATTAAATGAATGTCTTAATAGCTTTCATAACATAAATGATTTCCTAATTTAAAAGATGCTTTTTGTTACTGTTTTTGTTTCCAGTACCATATCAGGTGGTTCTTGAAATTTTGAATGACCAGTAATCATATAATAAATACTAATGTGTGTCTTAGTGGAATTTTTTTAATTAGATGTAATTCATATAGAATGAAATGCACAGATTTTCATGTACCATTGAATCAATTTTAACAAATGCATGCACTGGTGTAACCCACAGATAAAAGAATATTTTACCGAGATAAAAGAATATTTGATTTTTTAAAATAACTATTAATCCTTTTGGATCACAGTTACATATTGTTTTTTTCTGGATTTGATGTTATTTGTCAGTATGAAAGACTATAGGTTACTAATCTGTTTATCATCATGAAGTACATTTCGAATTATCCTAATAAAATAATCAGACGGGATGGTGAATACCTAGTGGCAATAGAGCTCTTTGTCTAATTCCTCTCTTTTAAAGAACTAGAATACTGCCTTTTCCTCGTCTATAAGTCATCAGTGGGGTGTTTTTTAATGGGGACTTCGGAAGCGCTCTACAAAAGTTTAGGTAGAGAGTACATTCTGATCCTCAACACAAAGGGAAATGGAAAGAGTTACAATGAAAGTTAGGGTTCTGTCCAATATATAGAT